TATGATGTTTAGCAGCATCCCTGGCCTGTACCGTCTAGATGCCGAGATCTCTCTCTCTCTCTCTCTCTCTCTCTCTCTCTCTCTCACACACACACACACACACACACACACACACACACTCTCTCTCTCTCTCTCTCTCTCTCTCTCTCTCTCTCTCTCTCTCTCTCTCTCCAGTTGTGACAATCCAGTATGTCTCTAGACTTTGCCAAGTGTCCCCTCGGGGAAAAAACAGTCCCGTTGAGAACCACTATCCCAAACCGAGAAAAAGATATTTGGGAACTGCCCGTGTTTATAAAGAAAACCAAAAGGAAACGTTAAGAAAAACAACACACTTTGATTTGGTATAAGAGCCAGAAGTGGTGAAAAATGTCAGAAACGAAGGAATTCTTTCATCATTTTACAACCAGAATCAATAGCCAATTTCAAGAGTTTATTCTTGAATTTAATTAGTCAAGCACATAATTAACGTCCATTTGAGTCAAATTCTATCATGAAGAAATTCACTAGACCTTCCATCCGTTAGAGGGGCAGAGAAGCCCGTCGCTGCCGCCATCCCTCTCCCAGCCGGCTATGTTGGTGAGGAAAGGCACGCCCAGCTTCTCGAGAGAAAGCAGCTTTCCTGACAACCTGGAGGGAGTGTTTGTGTGGCTCCACGTGCGTGTTCTGGGTATTCGATAAAGCAGCTGAAGACAAGTGTTGTTTGAAAAAAAAGAACATTGAATAAACCTGAACCGGAGACTGGACGGGAGGAAAAAAGGGCTGAATTACATTATCAAACAACCCTTCATCAAGGACCTTTCATCAGCTGGAGACCACAAGAAGCAATTGTTCTACCAGATTATCCACGTGGCCTTCACTTCTTTAAATCAACAAGCTCCGGTTCCGAGGGCGCCCGTGAAGCTTTAGCGCTTCCGATGGGACACCGATTAGCGACAGCTCACTCTACCCCACTGCACCCAGGTCTGCTGGGCAACACTCTGGGCGCCACCCTTACCAACTTAGTATGAAAACCTCCTGCAACCAGTTGGGTCGTTAACATGGCGGACTGTCCAGTTGACAGTCAACTGTGTCGTCCTTATTACAACGTCCAGTTCTAATCTATTCTATTGGGCAACCCTTCAGGCTCCAGGGCACCACTTCCCTCAGAGGCATGGCGCCTTTGGATTACAACTACTAAATGATCCATCATTTGTGCTTTTCTGGGATTTTACGAATAAAAAGGAACTGGTGAGAACTGGCCACCTATGCCAGTTACTTAGACCCCAAAAAGAAGAATAATCAGAGACAAATGAGAAAGCAGAAGGCAAGTGCTTAGAACAAGCAACACATACACACACACACACACACAACGCACTGGACAAAGAGAACCGAGCCCCAAAGCCAACACTGCATATTTCACGGTTTTCAATCACTTCCAGGCTGTGAACAAAAAGGGGAGGTGGGAAAAGAACGAGGAGGCAGAGCAGAAACACGCACTGACTCAACAATGCGCTCAGACGATTTCGCACGCTGTACTAAAACACTATGAAGTGGGGATTAACTCCCCGTTGTACAGAAGAGGCGACTGAGCTCAGAGGAGCTAACTTACTTCCTAGAAGTCCTAGAAGGTGCAGGAGATGGAAGCACAAGGCGAAGCAAGAGCTATCGGACCCGAAGTCGGCCCTCGTTCCTCTCCGTCCTCTGTCCTCATGTTGACGGCAACACCGACGTGGGAACAAAGGGCACTCCACCTTGCACTGCTTATGAGCTAAACCCCGGATGGAAACAACTGGGCCCCTTGAAGGCAGTTCCCGGAGACAGCGTGGATGGACAGCTGGCCTCTGCTGAGGGCAGCCAGGTGGTTCCCTGCAGCAATAAAATGGGCGAGTACCCAATAGACCCTTGATTTTGACTTCAACCACACTGAAAGCTGACAGCATCTCAAGGGCCTTCTGAGTTCCCCGTTGTGAAGGGGCCTGGAAGCTGCCTCCTTCACTTGACTCTCCTTCTCTCCATCAGACGCAGTCGTCTTTAAAAGAGGAAGCAGCTCAAGAGGATGACCGGCTTTGCTCCCTACGTGGTGGGTCTGTTTTTATTTGTCCCCACCAGTGAAGTTCATGAAAGGAATTCATCCCCAGCAGCCCGGCTCAGGGCCCAGGCTATGCCGTTCACGCTCCTGTTTGCCCAGGGCGAGCTCGCTGTCCGTATCTGCTCGGCCAGAACTCTCTCTCCTGAACGGGGTGCCGAAGGCAAAGAAGTCCAGCACGATCGCTGCACCTTCTGAACACCACGGCTTCAGCGGGCTTCGGCCAACAAAGGGATGGAGTGAACACACGCGGGAGTCAGCCACCACTGCGGGTTCCCACTGCGGGCTCCCCCTGCGACCCCGGGAGGCTCACAGCCTTGCCGTGCCTGAGATTCCTTGTCTGGACAATGGAGGCCACCAAGGCACTGACCTCACCGGGCTGCATGGGGAATAAGTGGGGACTTAACACAGCGTCTGGTTCGCACCAAAACCTGTGCACGGATGTTCACAGCAGCTCTACTTGTAATAACAGCCCAAAACTGGAAAGATCCCAAACGCCCTTCAACCGAGTCAATGGATAAACTCTGGTACATCCACAGTGGGGACACTACTCAGTATTAAAAAGGCACGAGCTGTTGACACACACAACTTGGATGGATCTCAAGGGCTTTACCCTAAGCGAATAAAGGCAGTCTCAAAAAGCCACATGCTGTGTGATTCCATTTACGTAACATTCTTGAAAGAACAAAATTTTAGAGATGGAGGGCCCAGTGGTCGCCAGGAGGTGGAGAGAGTGACCATAAAAGAGTAGCATGAGGAGCTTTCCTTGTGGTGACAGAACAGTTCTGCAAAAGATGATGGTGGTGGTTGCACGAATCTATACATGTGATAACATTTCATACAACTGCACACGTGCGTGCACACACACACTCATATATACACACAAAAGTGCATGTAAAAACTGTGAAATCCTGATAAGGTCTGCCAATGTCCATTTTCTTGATGCCGCAGTATCTCCTTGTAATATGTTACTACTGGGGGAAGGTGGGGGAGGGGACTCTGGAACTCACTGTACTATTTTTGCAACTTCTTGTTTCTTGTAGTCTAACATTATTTCAAAATAGAGGCTTCAAAAATAACAGTGATTGATGAATGGATAAACAGAATGTGGTCTATTCACACACTGGAATAGTATTTGGCAAAAGAAAGGAATGAAGTGCTGACATGCTACAACCTGGTGAACCCTAAAAACATGATGCTGAGTAAAACAAAGCCAGTCACGAAGAACACGTATTGTATAATTCCATTCATATGAAACTTCCAGAATGGGCAAATCCATAGAAACTGAAAGCAGATTGGTGGTTGTCAGGGGCTGGGGGAGGCAGGAATGGGGAGTGACTATTAATGGGTATGAGATTCTTCAGGGAGTGATGAGATGTTTTAAAACCCACTGTGGTGATGGTTGCACAACATTGTGAATACACTAAACACCACTGAATTGTACACTTCAAATGGGTCAACTGTCAGCTATGTGAATCACATCTCAATAAAGTTGTTACCAAAAAATGGCAGTGTCTGGGACACAGTAAGCATTACACAAGCATTTGGTCATCATTTATTATTCTTTCCTCACCCCTGGGGGTTGATTATGAGTCACCTTTGGTGCGCTTTCAAACTACACGTTGCCCCTCCATTAATGATGGGGATTTATCCCTCAGGTGTGTCCAGGTAGACAGAGATGGCAGCTCTAATGCTAAGAGAATCAGAATCAAAGTCTCCATTGGGCATTGTGTAGGCAGGTCAAGTTCAAAGTCCTTGCCTTTTCCTTATGCCTTTTCTGCTTCCCCATCACCACCCTCCCTCCGTTCCACCAAACTGGTTTATCAACTTTTCCCTTAAAAAAAAAAAAAAAACACAACAAAAAACCTTCTTATTCCTGGCTCCTCACCTTTGGCCATAGAGTCCTCCATCTAGAATACATTTCTACAACATGTATCAAAATCCCACCTACCACCAAACCCAACTCAAGTCTCCCTTCCAAGAGGAAGGTCCAGCCTTCCTCGGCTGCTCCACACATGCTGGTAGACCCCTCCTGAGAATTCCACAGCAGGAAAGGTCTGCACCATCCAAAGGACACCCATCCACACCATGGCTTTGTGCCCGCCCCCACTTCTGGTACATCTGTAATGCCTTACCCTCAAAACCAAGACATACCTCATACATCTCTGTATACTGCACAGTGCTCCAGAAGTAACAAATTCAAAGAATGGTCATGCCAGAAATGGAAGATTTTGCATACAAAGCGGTCTGAAAAGGATGCACTTAACTCAGGTGAGAATCAGGCCTCATTGTAAATGGGTGAAATAGAACAGCCAATATGGCGGCTCCAGACCCCAGAAGGTCCCATTCCAGGTGAGTCCGGACTCTCCCTACCCTGAGAACAGTCTATGTAGGGCTCAGAAGGAAGGAAAATGCCTCCCCGGGGGCCTACATCACAGGCCATGCTGCCTCAGGATGGTGCCAAACTCGGTTTTTATGGAAAATTCTGGCTGGGCGACAAGTCATTACACAGCTGCCTGTCATTTCCCAAACATTCTGAGGAAAGGGAGCCTGTAACAGACCAAAAGGCAGAAACCTTTGTTTGTTTGTTTGTTAGAAATCAGCCTTCTGAGGAAAAATAAGTACCTCAAATGTATATGGGAGATAAGAGCAGACACAATGCTTCTCCAGAAAGCATACAGTTGAACAAGCATCTCCATTTCTCTTTCCTAAAATTTCTGACCTTCAGAAGCTAAATAAAAAAGAAGTTTATTATGAGGTGCTGATGCAAATATACAGCATTTTTTTGCTAGCAAAACCACCTATTACAAGAGATCTTGAGAAATCACTGTTTCCAGTACACAGAGCCAATACAGTAATATTTAAATTGTAAGCACAGAAAACATGGAGAGGTTGACAGGATATTCATCACGTAATAAATTACAATTCCACTTACTCAAAGCCAAACGTAGGCAAGTCCCTTCTTCCTTCCAGGGCTTATTTTTAGGCCTGTTTTCTATCTTCAGTTACCTGTTAACGAAAAATATCCAAAGTAAGGCAAAAAATGTCAGTGAAAAAATCCTGAAGGATATTCTAGACCATTCCATAAGCAGGCAGATATCGGAATTAGGGGTATCACGAAGCTGAAACAATAACCACGTCAGACAGCAGACAACCATCACTGGTGAATTTCAGGCCTACATCCCTATTTAAAGCATGCGATGAGACTGTTTACACAAATCCACTCAAAACTTTCATCATCTCAGAACTGATTATGATCACATCACCAGGGAATTTCAATAACTGAAAAATCCACTCTGCTCTCACAATAGACACATTTTTCTCTGCCATTCTAAAGCCCGCCAGGTGAAAACACGGGTATTTCTAGATTCAATCTAACTGAGCAAATTTTTACTGATAACAAGTACTCGTTCAGTCTTGGGGAAAACAGAAATTTTTGCTGCTCTGGCATTAGGGACGCTTAAGGTCTCTGATCTTGTGGACTAATCCATCCTGGCAGTGAGATGGTGGGAGCTGGTGAGGGAAGAGCAGAGACAAAAACCTAGGAGGCAAATGCACACTAGATCATTTAAGACGAGAGAAATAATGGAAGTCAAAATAGAAAGTGACTAGGGGCAAGGAGTACTTTACATTGGGGGCTGGGGCAGAGCTCTCTAAGGAGGGAGCGTCTGAATGGGGGCAAGAGAGGCAGGCTGCTGACACAGCACACGTGCAAATGTCCTGTGGTGAGAATGACCTCGGCGAGAGGGAGGAAAGCCAATGGGCTGGGCGGCAGAAGTGAGTGGCAGCAGGCCCTGGAAACGAGTTTGATCCTACGCATGCCCCACTCGCTACACACTATTCCTCACCCAGCCCCAGACTTAATGAGAAAAGAAGATCTGATCGTCCTTCTACTTAAAAACCCTTCAGGGGCTCCCATCGCACTTAGAACAAAACCCAGAGAGGCTCCTGCTCAGTAGAGAAACTGGTGGCTCGCGGGTTTCTAGCAGGGAAGACGAGAGATGCAATGGAGAGAAGGGACAGGGTTCTACACACTCTGGTGGTGAGCTCCAGAGGACTCGCGGTGGAGTGGGGTGTGTGATGGGGACGGGGAGAAGAAGAGAACTACGGACGGCGTCTAGGATCAGGCTTGAGCAACAACTTGGAAGGGGGTGCCATTGGCTGGGATGCAGGAAGGCTGAGGAGAGGAGAAATCAAGACTTTTTATGTGTTTGCTCTGAAATGCCCATTCCACCTCCAAGTGGACTGTTAACTAGGTAGTTAAATCCACAAGCCTGAGCAAGCGGGAAGGGTCACGGTTAGAGAGCTAAGTCTGGCAGTCATCCTATAAGTGTGATCTTTAAAGCATGGGCCTGCATGGGAGCGTCTAAAGCAGGGTTCCTCACCCTCAGCACCGCTGACCTTTTAGATCAGATAATTCTCTGCTGTGGGGCTGCTGTGCGCACTGCAGGATGCTAAGCAGCATCCCTGGGCTCTACCCACTAGATGCCAGCAGAAATCCATCCCCCACCCCATTGTGACAACCAAAACTGACCCCAGACATTGCCAAGTGTCCCCTGGAGGGTACAATCGCCCTATTGAGAACCACTGGTCTGAAGACCGTAAGCTGAGAATCAAACCCTAGAGAAAGAGGAGCTGGCCGGTGAGGCAGAGGAGTGTGGGGCAAGGCAGGAGGAAATTCAGAATGGGGTGGTGGCCCCGGCTTCTAGTGACAGGTGCCTCTCAAAAAATCAAGGAGCAATTAGCAAATAACTGTTGCTGACAAACAGATGACAAGGAAGACAGCCGATGACAAGGAATCACGTTGTCTTCTCTGCCCATGCTCGTTGTGTGGAAGAAAATCTAGAGAGGCTTCATGGAGGAGACAGCAAACCTGTTGGCCCATGAAGTCAGGCAAGCAGGAAGAAAAAGTGGCTGTCGCTTCAGTGGTGCTGGAGGCAACCAACAGGGACCAGCAGAGGGCTCCGAGGTTTCTAAAAATGCCAGGTGATGCTCTCCTGGCACTCAGGAAAGAGGATGCTGACAAGGAGAATACCGGAAGGCTGGTCGGTGGGCAGAATGGGGCTGCTCTGTCCAGCAACGGAAGAAGGGGCCACCTGGGCAAGATGGCCCTGCAGACGGCACACTCCCAGCAGGGGCGACTCCAAAACTGGATGACCCGCAGAGTTCCAGCCAAGCAGGAACCAGGGGCCCCCCTGGTGGGCCAGCAGGTAATGCTCTATCTGCTGAACCATGTCGGGGTGGGGGACCCATCTCAGGGGAGGGGACGGGGCAGGCAGGATGCAGGGAATGACCAAGAAGGAGCTCCACACCTGACTGGTATGGACCCATGTCACTCTTTTGGCCACCAGAGGAAGAACAGCCATGGTGGTGGTGCATGCTGGCTCAAAGAGCGCCCCCATGACAAGATCTGGGAGACGAGGAGACCAGAGCCTTTCCTTTGTGACTTGCTCCTGCATCATCCTAGACCCCCCATCCCCCACAGGGGTACAGTCTGGACCACCAGGGACTGGGGTAATGGAACACCTCATGAAAAGATATTAGATAGTACACTGCCCGCCTCTTTTTCATTTTCTCTAAGATTACAAGGGGTCATACCCCCAGCAGACAATGCTCAGAACCCTTAACGATGAAAATGTTCTCAAAACTTGCCAGACACCTGATCCATTTCACTGCCCCATTCTGTCTTCATTAAACAGCATTACTGAGCACACACATTGTATTAAAAAACGAAAAACTTAAAAAAAAAAAAAAAAGCAGAGTTACAGGCCCCACTTTGCTCCTAATTAATTATAAGAAACTCTCTCTGGACCAGAGACTCCTCAGCTGTGAAATGAGGGTATTAAATTATTTATGAGGTTTCATCCACATCAAAAAATCTGAGGAACCATTTTCCTGTTGACTTCCTTTGTAGATTCGAAGGGAAAACACTCCCAACCAACTGAACCGAGAACTTGCGACAGGACTATTGGAGGAGGGGGAGAGAGGAGGAATGTGTATAGCTATCCGTCCTGCAGCCAACTGAGCACAGAAATCCATCCAAAGGGTGCAATACTCTTCCAAAGTTGCCATAATGATTAACATTTGCACTCCGGAGAAACGTTAACTTGTACCATCATGAAAGCAACGTGAAAAATCCAAAATATGTTTTCAGAAGCCATGGAGCACAACAGAGAAGCCACGGTTTCCTCCTGAGTCCTTTTCTTTTTATAGTGAGCCCTGAATTAACTGGGCCCAGAGCCAGGGGCCAAGACAGGTCCTGGCAGGGGGAGCCAGAGAATTCTGAACCACTTCATCTGCTACGGGGTTCAAGTTCTGTGTGATGAAGCTGTTGTTGCCTGCACTACCAATACTGCACAGCATGTTTATATATTGAGATGATTCACTCAATAACAGATTTTAAATCCTTTAAAGCAGGGGTTCTCAAGTGGGGCTGATTTTGCCCCCAAGAGGACACTGGGGGCACCAGAGACATTTTTAGTTGTCAGGACTGGAGGAAGAATGCTACTGGCATCTAGTGAGGCCAGGACGCTGCTGAACATCCTACAGCACGCAGAACAGCCCCCCTTAACAAAGCATTATCTGGTCCAAATATCAATACTGCCAAGGTGGACCATACTAAAATTTCTATAATTTTACAGGAAGTATATCCTATATACTTTCATTTTCCAAATCATTTTTATTCTCTTCAAAGTTTGAAAAAGTAAAATATAGGTGAGGCAAAACACGCCTCTTTTTAATAACAAGCTTTTTGGCACCACCTATCCCCAATTCTACTTCCAAAAGCAACCACTTTCAAATCTTAGAATTGTTTTTATTATTGGCAGTGTTCCCTGCTATTGACTTCCATGTTTCCAAATAACCTGCTTATAATATTCCCTCTCCACTTTAGATATTACTTACTTGATTTTCTCACATATAGATGAGGGTTTTGGGTTTTTTAAATTCCCATCGCCAACCCTGTGCTTACTCTCCCACATTTTCCCAAGAGTATAACAGTTTTTGGTTAAATCTATAGTCTACACATATTATTTTGACAATGGAATGGGTACTGCTGAGAAGCAGTATAGCATGATTATGATTCCCTCCATACACAACTTTTCTGTTCTCCTGGAGTTACTAGTTGCCTCTGTTTTTATTTCCTTAGTTTTCTTTGGTAATTCTTCCAACGTTCTCTACAGTCTTTCAATTCAATTTTTCACATCATCAAAACTCTCAGATAAGCTGTCAGTTCCGTGTCTTTCCACCTCCACCCCACCCCCCCAGTACATACACACCAGACCTTCCTTCTGAAATTTCTTCTTTCTGCTCCACTCTGTACTTGTCAGCATTAGGCCTGCTGTAGAGCCCCGAAACCACACCAACATCCCAAGAATTCCTTCCATCTCTCTCTGATTCTGGGATCCCAAATCTCCCTCTTTCTTGGTCTACTCTCTTATTTTGGCAGGAGACATTCACCAGTAGCTTCCTGAGACGTGTAATGTGAAAGCTAAATTTTACTGATATCCTGAATACCTACAAATAACTTATTCTATCCTTAATTAACAATTAGTGGAGGAAGGACTACAAAATTCTGAGTGAAAATTTATTTACTTATATTGGTGAGGAAGATTGGCCCTGAGCCAACACCTGTTGCCAATCCTCTTCTTTTTGCTTGAAGAAGATTGGCCCTGAGCTAACATCTGTGCCAATCTTCCTCTATTTTGTATGAGGGTTGCCACCACAGCATGGCTTGCCAAGTGGCGTAGGTCCCCACCCGGGATCCAAACCCATGAACCCTGGGCTGCCAAAGCAGAGTGTACCCAACTTAACCACTATGCCATTGGGCCGGGCCCTGAAAATTTATTTTCATACAATTCTATGGTCAGTCTGTTTTCCAACTTCCAGTGGTGGTGTTAAGAAATCTGATGTCATTCTGATTCCAGATCCTTCATAGAACTTTTCTTTAAATCCAGGAAAGTGCTTAGATACTACCTTTATCCCTAATGTTCTAAAATGACATGATGATG